GGGAATGTATGCAAATGCACAAAATATTTCTGTACACAGGGAGGAAAAAATAATGCACAAGCAGACACCAGCAAACCTCTGTGGTAGTGATTTAGAAAGTTGGATAGCCACATACAAGTTGAGGATGTTGATCATTAAAACAAAACAGCCTGTAAGCTTATTACCTTTTTAAAAAAAAAAATCAGCAAGACGATGTTATACATCACAGAGGGCTTGTGATCAAAAGTAGAAAGGGAAACATGCTACTACTTCTGTATCACTCCTGGCACATATATCAAAGGGTTTATGGTTTGTGGCACTACATCCATATTGTCTGCTAATTTGGAATGTAAAAACACCACCACCACCAAGCTGGTGTGAAAGCAGTATGGAGCATTGTTTTTGTCCCCAGCAGCTTTTATGTTTGAAGTAATCTGCTTACTCTACTCTTCCCATGTACTTTTTGTAAGAGAAAATCAGTGTAATTTATACTGAATCTGTACTACTGATACAGAAGTAGTCTCCTGAGTTACTGTACACAAGAATGATGGTAGTACTGGCATTTAATAGTGATGTACTGTCCAAGAAGCAAACGTGGGTATAGTTTGGCTTGTTTGAGCTGGGTGGTTACTTTGCTGTAAGTAATCAGCACTGCAGGGGTTGTCTATCCCTTTTCAAGGGCCAACACGGTCAAGGAAAGTGCCAGGGGCTGTAGTGAGGTGGAGCCATGTCTCCCCCTCTCCTGAGAAGATTACAGTGAGAAGATTTAATTTGAGGCATTGGTCAGAGAGAAGGGGGAGAAGGAAAATTGGGAAGAGTATTTTGCTGTGGGAAAATAAGAGACCAGCCTGATGTCTCGAGCGGAATTAATGTCATATTCACAAGGAAGACAACATGGACAATATATATGTATTTAAGAAAAAGCTAAAACAATACTGCTGCTTCTAAAGCTAGGACAACATGAGCTCCCTTACTGGCCTATCACAAACTCACATCTTTAAAAGGGTGGCAAGAATGACTAACTCCAAACAACAAAACTGTTGAGGTTGATTTGATGCTGACAGAGAAGTACCTGCCAACCGGAGAAACTCTGTCTCACATCCTTATAGCATAGAAAAATACTATACCAAACAAATACAAATATATATGTAATATAAGAATCTAAGTATTCTGTATAAAGAAAGTTTAACCATTAGCTTACAACTGGCAACAAAAGACAAAGGTTCACACAATTGCCTGCTACCCATCCCAGGTGACACTAACTGGATCATTCTGATGCTGCACTCCTTGTGGACACCAAGAGAAAATTTGCTTGCTGAGGAGGGGTCATTTTCAGTAGGGTAGATAAAAGAGTCAATGGCAAATTAGCAAAGCCATGGAATGCTCTTTTGGGGAGATGAGTGGAAGTGTCATGACTTGGTTGTAAGACATCCAGCACCAGAATTCCGAAATAGGCAATAGCTTAAAGATCACATACCGCCCAATGAGACATTTGCGACAAGTCCAGCAGCATCAGAGAAACTGCATTCTAATAGAATCAAGTAGTTGCAGACTCCAGTAGTCACCCAAAACCTATCATGGGCTGAACTGTGCAGCCTAGACACTGTATATTAAGCATGCCTTGACTGTTCATGACCAAGCTGACAGCTGAGCTGGTGCCAAACGGGTAGTATGGATATCCTGGAGATCAACTGGGCTGAAATGCATATTCCAGATGAACTGCAGTTAGATATATTTATTCCATACATTTTGGGATTATTTTATAGTCTATGAATTTCCAGTTATGAAGCTGAAATTTACATATAGTTACTTGTCACATATGCTTCTGATCCCAAATTTGTGCATATGAACTAACTTTTCTCTAAGGTGAACTAGTCAGAGTAAGACCGTAAGAATAGCCCTGCTGGATCAGACCAGTGGTCCATCTAGTCCAGCATCCTGCTTCACATTGTGGCCATCCAGTTGCCCCAGAGGGCCAGCAAACAGGACATAGAGGCCCAAGTCCTCCCCTGATGTTGCCTCCTAGCACCTGAGTTTCAGAGATTTACTACCTCTGAATATGGAGGTTCCCTCTATACAGAATGGCTAGCAGCCATTGATAGGCCTATTCTCCATGAATATGTCTAAGTTTATGTCACATGGCTACCAAATTTTATACAATATAAACTGCTTTACTGCCAAAGTATAAAGTTGGTGGTAGATAAGAGTAAAACGGAGGGATTCAAATATATGGATATTTGCAGTTCGGTATGTGTAATTTCTTTTATTAGACATGTGAGGTCTAAAAAAAATGCCAAAATCACTAATTAGGTTTTTTTTATCATAACTTAGGAACCTAACAAATGGGAATTTTAAAAGCTGTACATTTGCTGAGAAGAAAAATACATTTAACATTCTTGGGATTTCTAAAATAAATAGAAATACATAATACTTGGATAATAAAATGAGAGGTTGGAAAAGTGGTGGCAGATTTAACTGCCATTGCAAATCATTAAATTCCAATTGATTTGGTGTCACTACCAGCTGTACTTGCCAGCAGATCCTGCTGGAGTTAAGACTTAATGACGGTGGGAGCAGATCAAGTCTTCCTGCCATTTATATTGCTCTGTTTTATTCCACTCATTGCACTGCTTCTTAATCTGTACAACTGGCAGTTTCCATGGCTAGCACAAGCCCAATTACATGCCAGGGACTCTGAAGAGCTGTGGGTTGCTACCTCCCACAGTCATGCATGCCTTTCTGCAGGAAGTGTAGAGGTTGCTCTTTTTTTTTTTTTTACTGTTCTGATACCTCCCAGAACAAATGTGCTTATAATAATCCACATATTTTATACCTGAGAGCATTCTATCAGCATCTCCCCCAGTAAGCTGGCTCCTTTTGTACCATACTGCCTTACTTGTATCTAGCACATAATAAGCCTTAAGGGCCTAGATAGCCTCAACCTTGAGTTGTGCCACATGCTAAATCCAAGCAGCTGCCCTAGGAGAGTCACCTGTACGAAACAAGCAACAGGAAGCTAGTTGAAGCTGCTCTGGAAACTGGACTACATGTAGAGCCAAGGTTGTGATCTGGACAGGACCCACTGGTTGGGCAACAGCTGATTTATTTGCAGCAGAGAATCTGTGCTCACTCCACAATTGGATTCTTACAGGACAGTCCTGAATACCTCCACTTTAATTTTTTGAACAAAGCTGGTTCAAGTTTAGAAAGATTAGCGACATACTTTCAAGCCTGAAGTTTCAGGTATCAGGGCCTGAGTGCATAAATAGAACTTCCAGTGCCCAGGGCATGCAGCTTCAGTGTCCAGTATACCTCTTTGTCCCTCTCCACTGTCAGAAACAGAATAAATTGTGCAACTCATCCGCAAACTTTCTTGATTGGCATGATTCATACAGGTCAGAACAGAGGATTCAACTCTTCTTTTGCATAATTTCAGTTGCAGAAATCTGACTTGATTTTTAAAGTTACTGACTTCCCTCTTAGTCAGGGACTAGTGCTGAAGACACCAAATTTTGAACTTCATAGAACACTTTCTCTGGCAGAGAGTGATAGAGCCAAAGTGCTTTTGACTAATATGCAGCTGTTTTTGTTTAGGTCCAGTCCAACATAACTATCAGACAGATCTGGAGACACAGAGAAAGAAGACATAGTTTACTTTACATGCCTAGGCACTGAAGGTCCACCTTATTCCCGTAGATGCTGTCAAGATGATGCAAGACACAATAGTGTTATTCTTGTGTCAGCATGGCTGCATCTAAGGAAATAAGATGTGGGCACCTCCTTTGGGAACGTGAGGCAGTGGCTGGTTCACCCAATTCCATTGTCTGTTATGGGAACATTACTTGATGCTTGGAGCAGAAATGTTATAATAAACTGAGTGCACAAGACACATGTGATTCATTTCCTCCCTTTGCCTTGCCAAAAGGCAGGTGAAAGTGAACATGGTAGGGATAGAAATTGTCCTAGAGCTGATAGCTGGTGGAGTACAGAACACTTGCCACTCTTCATATTGAGATATTTTGTTGCAGAAAGCAGCTGGCATTGGGACAGGGCAGATGCTGAACCAGTGAAACTTAGTTCTGTCCTTGTAGTTGTATCCATACCCAAGAAAGCTGCAGGATTTACAAGTATGAATATGAAAGTGGGGCCAGCCTCCCAGTGCCATCCAGCAGAACTACAATGGGGAAAAATTAGCCAAGGATTATCCAGCTTTTGTGCAACCAGATGCTATTCATGTTTACTTTGAAGTACATCCCCCTATTCAATAGGGCTTACTCCCAGGTAAGAAGATGATTGAAGCTACAGGCAAATCATTATATTCTTGGTAATAACAGTGGCTCAGACATCCTAGAGTATGCTATGTTTCTTTTTATGAATAGTTGAAGGAATATCTGAACACAGGATCATGAGGCTAAAGTGATTTCTTTTAATCACTACCTTGTAAACAATGGGTTGTATGAGGCACCTGTTCATGCAGTCTCTTCCCCTTCTCCTAAAACATTTTTTTCTCGTTTCTCCTGTCCTGAAGCACATGTCATTCCTGCCCTTTTCCTTGGCGGCTGCCTCTGTGTTGCTGGCCATTTAGCCCCATGAACAGCAGATGAGTTTGCAATGAAGGGGCCGTGAAAAGAGAAACAGGGAGATTAAGAACTGCCCCCCCCACACACACCCGAAAGCAGGCATGGTGCAGATTGGCCGGCTCAGACACCAGGTAAAATGACAAGATATGAAATGGCAGGATCCTGCCGAAGGCATGGCCTTTCAGGACAGCACACCAGGTAAAACAAATAAGCATGATCAGGCTTGATAAGAATCCATACTGTGCATAAGGAGCAACCCCCAGACAGTGTCTGTGCTGGATATAAATACATCTGTTGTGCTGGATTGGCCAGAAGAAGTCTTCTATCTACACCTTTGTCTGGTCCATCCAGAAGAGCCACTCTTGCCAAGCCAAAGGAGCTGCTCAGTTGCCAAACTGAGTGTCCTAGCCCTCCCCTCACCCATGAAGTAACTGGGGCAAGAGAAGACAACAAGTCCATTCCCAAGGCTTCTGTTAGGACAGGCCTGTCCCACTAGTCTCTGGCTCTGGCCTGTCCCTTGCTGGAGGCTACATGCACTGAGAACAGCCACATTTGCTGGGTTTTTCCACCTCCTCTACAAAGGAAGAGCCATCGCTGCACTCAAAGGTGTATTTCCTGCGCTTCAGACGCAGTCCTGCACAGCAGCCCGGGCCTGGGCACGATCCTCGACACTCCACCCAGGACACAGGACGTGTCGTCTGGCAAATGGCGTAGCCTCGCTGGACCTGATGGAAATCACGCACAGCCTCACCTCGGCACTCCGACTCTGTGGGAACATTTGAAAGGAGCAAGTCAGGCATTGGGCAATGCCCTCTGGTTGGTATTACTATTCCGTCCACATTGCTTGAGGTAAAAATAAATCTGCTGGTAAAATCAAAAGCTTGTGATGAGGGACAGCCCCACCTTCCTGGAGTCTTAAATGTTTGGGGACTGGCATGTAAGGGCAGTTTTTGGACATTTATCTCTTTTTCTTGAGCCTTGATTGGCTGAGAGCCATGTGAAAATGGTCTCCATCCTTCAATGAAAGGAGGAGACATAGAGAAAGCCATCCATTCCAGACAAGAAGGAACAACAAAATGATGCTGTATAACTGGGAGACATGGTTTTATTGGTTATGTTCCCTGTGGCTGGAAGAAGCGAGTTCAAGTGTGTCTTTGTTTTGGATGCGGTTCATGCTGGGTGCTCTGTAGGAAAATTGAGATGTGTATTCCAATTTGTTTTGCTGCAAGATGCAGACCTGAAGCTTTTTTCTACCAGGAGGTAGAAATGTACTGTAGATGAAGGTCTACAGTTGCTAAGTAATTTACTGGGGAAGGGTACTAGAAAAGGAGCAACATCCGAGTGGCCCCTACTTAGAACTTCTGCCATCCATGAGGACATGCCTGGGTTAACATGATATTTCCAGCATAAGTACATGCCCACGTGTCTGGGTGGGGAAGACTGTGTTCCCTTAGGGATCTTTAACAGTGGCTCAGAGAGAAATACAGGGTAGGCATGGAGACTTGTCTGACCTTGCTCACAGAGGTCGCCATCGAATCCCCCGTTGCATTCACAGAAGGCTTCACCTGTGTCTGAGATCTGACACTGACCATGGACACACTGCAGATCTTTGCATGGGTTGTGGAGCTCCCCTTGCTGATTGCATAAGGCCCCCTTGTAACCATCCTGGCACTGGCAGCTATAGGAGAGCGCATCAAGGGGGACACAAATTCCATGTACACATCTGCAGATCAAGCAAGACATAAAACAGAGTTTAGGTTGATCTGGCCAGAGCCTCTCTCTTTTTTAATCCTCCGCCCATCATCTTCTATCAGAGGAAATTGTTAGCTAAAGAGAACCCTTTCTGTGCTAGGATTCCTTTGGTGTGCTTGGGTCTCCCTTTTGCTGTTCTGGTCTGCCTCTGGAATGCAGCCAGTAACAGGGAACAGTGTAGCCGTTTGAGAGAGAACTTCTGGGTGTCTAGGTGAAGAGGAGTAAAGACTCACAATATTCTGTCTTGTCACTTGGGATACATTTATGTTAGAAAAAATTTCAATATACGATACCGTACATCAAAACGAATGTGAATTTTATAATCCACTCAGTATATGGTTCCCAATACTAGACAAAATATCTTTACACAGATTTGACTGGGAGAACATCTCCGAAGCTAAATACAAGATGCTTTATAATTAAAAGAGAGACTTAGTATGTTATTCCTTCAACATCTTAATAATGACTGTTATTCATATATCACAAAATCAAAGATCTTAGATAACAATTATTTAATGTTATAATTCACCTGACATCCAAAAAAGATTTATATGTAAATTTTCGTTTTATCTCTATGTAACCAACCCATTTTCTTCTTTGTAAAATGGTTTGTGTCATTGTTTTATTGAAAGTTAATGTTCTGTCTTGTCCAGGAGCCTCAGAGATACACCATCCTTGCACCAGGTTTCTATTAAGGGGTGTTCTCCCAGTCTGCCCAATTTCGCTTTTCCTAAAGATTTTCCAAAGCATAACTGCAGCTCAAGCCAGAAAAGACTGAGGTGCTGCTGATTTGTAATATTGCTATCCAGGAACTAAGGAGTCACCTGTTGAATAAGGTTGCACTCTCTACAGGGTCACAATTTAGAAAGACCTACTAGATGTGTGTCTACAGATGGAGGCTCAGATTTCCTTTGTACCACACAGTGATTTTTCTCAGCCTTCATTGATACACCAACTGCAGTATTTATTAGATAAAGAAGACCTGGCCATGGTTATCCACGGTCTGATCACATCCAAATTAAGACTACTGCAATATATGTGGGTCTGCTTCTAAAGACAATTCTGAAGTTTCAATTATGGAACTCCTTCCTCACAGCAATCCACTGGGTGCCCAGTTTTAGATTCAAGTGCAAGGTTAAAATGTCTTTGGTTTGGTTAATGATTTTGTTCTTGACTCAGGTTCCACCCCACCCCCCCATTACAGCTCCATAAGTAATGTTTTAACAGTGTACTGTATTATTCCATTTTATTTTAATTGCTGTTTTATTTGGTGTCCCATCGATGCAGTATTTCAGTGTACTCACTTGTTCCCCTGGCAGGGGTTGCTAATGGGCTGGTCACAATGGGGCCCAACCCAGCCTGGGTCACAATGGCAAATGGGGCCATGAGCAGTGTTGGGCTGGCAAATGCCATGCAGGCAGTAGAGCTTGCGGCAAGGCTCACAGCCAGGCACCACTCCTGGCTTCATCTGGGTCTTGGTAAAGTCCTGCAGTTCATTATTGATGTACAAGTTGCGGATGCAGCCATGGAAGCTTGAGCCGTTCAAGAGCTGCCAGAGGCGGAAGGCAGCAGAGTTCACATCCACAGGCATCCCTAGTGGGGGAGAGTCATAGTGGCAAGGTGAGGAGCAGGAAAAGCAACAAGAGGTAGAGTTCTGGGGAAAGAAATGGATTGGAGGGGGGAAAGTGTTTTTCTAATCAGCAGAGCATACGGGGTGGGTGGGTACTAGAACCTTGGTCAACCATTTGGGGGACACATTTAACCCATAAAGTTCCATTTCCTCCCACCTGGCACTCAGCCAGTTTCTCTCCCATTTCATCCCTGGCTCTTGCATCACTACACAGTGGAGGAGATACCCTTCTGAGCAGAGAACAGCCCAAGCTAAGGATGAAGGATCTTACAACACAAATGGTGCAAATGTGGAAGCAGCAAAAGAAAGTATCCCTTCCTGTTGGAGCAGAAACATTCCATCCCCTCCCCAACTGAACTGAGCCCCGGTCACAGCCCTACCCCCCACGTAGAGTGGAGCCTCAGAGTTCAGAGTGTGGGCCTTGCCAAAGCCATCCATGGTCATGGGGTCGCCTCCATCAATGGAGAGGTTCACCATTCGCTCAAACGTCACAAGTTCCACTGTATGGAACTGCCCATCATTGATGGTCTCTGCACTAGGGAGAGAAGAGAGATGTGGGATGGGAAAGGCTCATGATACCCACTTCTTCACCTACCATTAGGTATCTACAGTCAACCCTTGCCCATCCAACGTACAAGTTCAGTAACCACATTTAGTCCTCCATTGTGTTCTCTAATCAATATCTCCTTCTGTGACTTCTGCAAAAGGTCTCAACACAAATCTTGGGCAGCAATCCCAGTCCCAACCCTTCCTTTTCTACCACATGGATAACATGCAGGTTGCTAAGGCAGTGACAGATCTCTCTAGGTTCTGAAGGTTTTACTGTGACTGAGGGAGGGACTGAGAGCTACCTGTAAATGGCAGAGCTGGGGTAGGTGCCTGGGTCATAGCTGACACGCACATGGCCTTGGTATAGCTCCACCGCCATGTGGTCAGTGTCTCCATTGTACAAGAGGATCCCATTGTCCTCAGCTGTAGAGACCTGCAGAGAGTAAGAAAGTGAACAAGCAAGGAGCAGGAAAAAGATACTCTACATCCAACTTGCACCATAAATAGCACAGATCAGGCAAGCCGCTCTGAGCCTGCCACGGCGGGGAGGGCAAGATACATATTTAACAAATAGATTTAAAAAGTTGCCCAATGCCCACCCATGGGGTAGGATGGAAGCTTGGTTTCCATCTCTTACCTGCAGAGTGATGTTAGCACTGGGCCAATTTTGCAGGTCGGTGAATTGGAGGTATGTGTCCCTGTCTATAAAGTTGACACTCAGAAGCTTCTCACATTTGGGGCCTCCAAAGCCAGGAAGGCACTGGCATAAGGCACGACTGCTTAACTCCACACAGTTGGCACCATTCTGGCACTCTGCTCTCTCGCAGGGGCTGGGCTGGAGGGAGCCATGGGGTGGGATCTCACAAAGCTGGCCACTGTGATGAAGTGATCATATAAGAAGACAGAACTCAGGGGAGCGACTCACAGGATCACACCACAAGGCCTGTGCTCCCACACACAGACCACAGCAGGAACCAGTGGAGGATGTTTAGGGTCGTGCACGACCTCCACCTGCCACCCTTCCACCCTCATCTGAATTCCCCTGACCAGAGATGGAGCAACGCACAATTAGAAGCACAAAGTCACACGTGAGCGCCTAGAGTTTTCTTTTTCCCCGATGAATGGCCACATACGGAAGGACTCCGATTCCTTTCATAATGATGGGACGGGAGGAGAGAGAGAAAGAGACTGACTGACTTGCTCAGGATATATAGTCCTGAATCTACTTTATGCAGACTCTCTGAAACTACCCAAAAAAAGAAAAATATGGCCCACCCAGTGTTGTATTTCATCAGATTTCAGAAGCTAAACAGTATTTGGCCAAATACTGGCCAGTATTTGGATGGGAGTCCTTCAAGGAATACCAGGGTCGTAGCATGGGGGCAGGCAATGCCAAACCACCTCTGAACATCTCTTGCCTTGAAAACCCTATGGGGGGGGGTCACCATAAGTCAGCTATGATTTGATGGCACTTTCCACCACCACCACCAGTGTCTCTACTACTGCAGGTTGGAGCCGCGTCACATATCTGCACCTATTTCGATACGCCTATTTCTGCATACAGCAGGATCACCCCTACTATGCAATTCAGAACATCTCAGTTAAGATGCAGGAAAATCCTGTGATGAACCACTGGCTGCACAAAGGGATTCAAGCCAGGCAGCCAATTCCCTCCATGGTATAGGCATAGCAAGTATGAAATGCACCCTTTTTTCCCCTCACAAAAGCAGCCAAACTACCCTGGAAATAGCCGTGTTCTTAAGTCTAGTCTCTGTTTTACTGACCTCTCCCTTCCAGTACAGTTTTACTGATCTCTGCTCTGTTTGGGTGGATGGAGAGAATCTTCAAGCATAGGACAGGCCCTGGTGCTGACCTCCACAGGATGCCTGGGGTTGGGGGGAGGATTTGTGTTCTTGGCATCTCCTCCATCGAATACACGTACCTGTAGCCTCCAGTGCAAAAACAGGAGTACCCATTTGGTTCATCAAGGCACTGTGCATTGTTCTGACACTGGTGGTCTAGGCAGTCATCATAGTCCACACTGCAGTTATCTCCCACATAGCCAGGCACGCACTCACACCTGGAGGTAGGAATAAATCACTTAAATGAGCCAGGCTACCCATCACTCCAAGAGGCAGAAGGACATATGCCAGGTGGTGCCTGTAGCCATGACAGTACGCCTTTTCTGTCTCTATTATAAGTCTTTACCAAGCCTACTTCCAAGTCTGCCTTTCAATCTTTCCTCTCCCAGCCCCCCCCCCCCCCGGTAGTAGATGATTCACTAAACGCTCTCTCTGTACCTATCCATAGAAATAAGTCTAAATATTACATCTAACAACTAAACCACAGCTTGTATATGACTAATGACTTAACTATAACCATTCTCAAGATGGAATGTCAGCTTTACTCAGGGGATTACCAGTGCTGACTTCACACAAGTGACTCAGTAGACTTAATGAAAGGACTGGAAGATTCTGAAGAATTCCTACCTTCCCGAGGCTCTTGCCTTTTTAGAAGTTTATGGAAAGGATTACAAACCAGAAAAAGCCATTCAATGTATATGTTCAACAGGCTGCACTACATTACAAGGACATCAGTATTCCATTAGGGGTAATGGGTCGGATCCCACCATTTAGTTCTTTGGTGACTCTGTCTTCCTTCAATGCAAGAGGGAACACTGGTGGGCCCAGTGGTAGGAAGCAACCCACCATTATTCATCTCTTCCTGCTTATTACAGTAACTATAGAATTCTGAAAAAGAAACTTCCATCATGCCTAATTTCACAAAAACTTGGAAAAGTTGGTACATCTAGTTCATACAAAACCTACTTGGGTTTTTTTGGACAGTTAATTGACAATTAAAATCCCCCCCCCCCCCCCCCCCCCCCGGTCACTCACTTGGGTCCATCAGGGGAAACCCTGCATTTGGCATCATGTTGGCAGGGGTTGAGCTCTGGAGAACAGACATCCACAAGCTGCTCACAGTAAGTCCCTGCGGGAAGCGGGGGGGGGGGAAGGGTGAAGAGGGAGAGAGAGAGAGAGAGAAGCTAAGCTCATGCCTAATGCCTCCTGTGATCTGGCTGAGCCAGCACTTCCCAAGGACAGAGGGAAGGACAAGACAACCTTTGCTCTCCAACACTTGCTGGATCAACACAGATACACTCAAGCCACCTACTATGCAGCTCTTTTGAATTGCTGAGTACAAATGCCTACTCATCCAAAAGCTAAAATGGCTCCAATATCTTCCATTATTATTAGAGGGGGCCAAGCCACATGCATGCGATGAATGTACTTGGCCCTTAATTTGGCAACAGGGTTCACTATGATAATTTGATTACTATGCGTTGGTTCTTTCACTTCCAGTGGTCATGAGCAATGTTCCCTCTAAGCTGTGGAATCTTGTGAGCAGAAATTCTACTGGCATTAATGCTGTGAGCAAGCAATTTGGCTACTGCGTAAATTAGTTTGCTCTGGAGCCATCCTTCCCGAGCGAAGACAAAAATGTGTCAGCCAGAGGCTAAAAAACTGTGAGCTAGCTCACACTAACTCAGCTTAGAGGGAACACTGGTCATGAGGACGGACAAGGTATGGGCCACCAAATCCCTGCCTTTCAACTACTGGAAATCATACTCACTCCTCCTAGCCTATCAGTGCAAAAAACGGGAATAGAAACTTGAATGAAAAAAGAAAAAAAATTCAGGGAAGTTTCTGCAGGATGCTCAGTTCTTCCTCTGCCACCACCTTCTACGCTTTCTGCATGGAATCAAATAAATATATGTACAAGACAAAATAGCTAGATTGAATGATGGACAGAATGTATGACTGTGCATACACACACACGTGTGGAAGGCCATGTTAAATGGGGATGGATCCACAGCAAGGGGAGTGTGTTTCCTAATGGAGAGAGGAGTATGAGAAAACCATCAGGTCTTATTTAGAATCCAATGATACCTTTAAGACCAACAGAGGCTAATTCAAGGTATGAGCTTTCGTGTGCAAGGCACGCTTTTTCAAATACATTTGTATTTGGGGGGGGGGAGTATTTGAAAAAGTAATGTTGAATTTCCCACATTTATAGGAAGAAATCCGAGTTTTCTTGAGTGGCATCTAATTATGTACTTGGCAGTTAAATTTGGATATTGTTCCATTGACAACAAGGAAACATAACATTTGTGTGAAGGCATGAGACTGTAGCAAGTTATTTAAATTGTAATTTGATAAGGGAAAGAACGATGGGGAACTCTTATTTCCCAAACAACTAGGTCTGCAAGCAGGAGGTCCTGTTGACTAACAAGGTCTGATGGTAGATCCAGTTGGCTAGCCGTGTTGGTCTGAAGCAGTAGAACAAATTTGGAGTCCAGTGGCACCCTTAAGACCAACAGAGGCTTATTCAAGGTATGAGCTTTCGTGTGCAAGGCACGCTTTTTCAAATACATTTGTATTTGGGGGGGGGGGGGATTTGAAAAAGCGTGCCTTGCACACGAAAGCTCATACCTTGAATAAGCCTCTGTTGGTCTTAAGGGTGCCACTGGACTCCAAATTTGTTCTACTGCTTCAGACCAACACGGCTAGCCAACTGGATCTACCATCAGACCTTGTTAGTCAACAGGACCTCCTGCTTGCAGACCTAGTTGTTTGGGAAATAAGAGTTCCCCATCGTTCTTTCCCTTATCAAATTACAATTTAAATAACTTGCTACAGTCTCATGCCTTCACACAAATGTTATGTTTCCTTGTTGTCAATGGAACAATATCCAAATTTAACTGCCAAGTACATAATTAGATGCCACTCAAGAAAACTCGGATTTCTTCCTATAAATGTGGGAAATTCAACATTATGAATTTATGAGGCAGGGAGAAGGGAACCAATTCTGAGAAATTTGCATCTGCTTCGTGAACAAAGGGGCATGTCGAAGGTGACACTGAACTCTAGCCTGGCTGTTCTGCTGCAGACCAACACGGCGGCCCTCTGGAACCTCTACATGGAGGGACACCACCAATAAGTCCTACTGACTGGGAGAAAAGTGGGATATAAATATTTTAAATAAATAAAATTTAAAAAAAAACCATCAAAGGGCATCCAGGGTGAATAATGGCGTGTCTTGTACTGTCAAGTCTTGGATTCTGTGTACAAGGACACTCATGATAAACCTGCCTCCAGTAATGGAGTAGGAAACTTAAATGTCATAAGCTGGAATCCGATTGCACAGTTTGCAAAGGCAATGCATCTTGAATATTTCTGCAATGGTCTGGTTATGGTGTCGGGACCTGAAGGGGCCCACGGGATCCATCGCTGCGCACTTATGCCTACTCTACCTGTATAGAAGGGAAGACACAAGCATGAATAATTGATGGAGCCGTTGACGCATGTGGCACCATTCTTGCAGTGGTTGTTGTTACAATGGTTGGTCTTCAGACTGCAGGTTGGTCCTTCAAATCCATCCATGCAGGAACACCTGTCAGAAAAGAAATAATGGTTATTTAAACTGCAAATTCCAAAAACTGGAAGCTGTTCACTGCGGGGTATTTTGGAGGGTGGGCAGTCACAGCCTTCTCTAAGAGTCCCCCAGATCTCCCCGGTTCTGAACACCACATAGTCCTGCACCCAGGGCATTTCTGCATCTGATTGGACGGATGTTAAGCGGAATCAATCTGAGTGCCACTGGATTGAAAAGGAGTTAAGGAGATCCTTGTTTTGACAGAGATCTAGGACAGATGGGGCCTGGCATGCTTTAAGTTCAACAGTGGTGTGGGAGATGTGATGTGAGGAGAAAAAGGGGGCCTTTGTTTCAGGCAAGAAACAGGCACAGGCCTGAGCAGCCACAAGGCATGAGAATCAGCTTTCAGAGCCATATTTTTATTCTGAAGCCAAACAAATGATAAATTTATTTTATGAGAGTCAGTGTCATGCAGTGTTGGACTAGGGTCTGGAAGACCGAGGTTCAAATCCCTGTTCATGTCAGAGAAGCTCACTGTGGAGATACTGATAAACGGAAATTCACTGCATTCGTATGAAGTGTCAGCAGGTAGTAAAGTGCAGGGTATATTGCAAATGCTGGCAACTTGCATTTATATTGCCTGCAACCTATTTAGCTGGGAGTAGTGCAGGAGCAGGGGACCGTCTTTCACATAGACACTGAGTTGCTCTGTGGGGCAGAAGGCCCTCATACCCTTTCCAAGAGGAGTCATCTCCCTGTTTGCTATCGTTCCCCAAAGACAGACTCTCGCCTGGCATGTGTAGAGACTCAGCTTTGTCAGCCCCAAAGGACACTGTGTGCTAGCTTTGAAGATGCTGGGTTGTTATGGAGACGGGATGAGAGGCCATTTAGCATCCTGGCAATTTGGGTGCACAGACAAGGCTGGGGCCCCATTCTCTCTCCACTGCCTGTGGTTTATTTTCAGCCACTAATTATGGTCTGTTTCCCAGAAAGCCGCCCACACTGTACTCTGGAGAGTGGAGTGAGGAGGAGCTCTGTGCACAGAGGTCCAGCTACAAGGCAAAGTCCACAGCACCCCAAGAGGCCAAAACAGTAGCTAATTCGGCGGGGTGCAAGTCTGCTAATAGTTTTCTCTCCCAGGACCCAACCTATATTTACCAAAAGAAACTGACTGCAGAGTCAGAGGGCTTGTGGTGGTGGTGGTGGGTCTTGCCTACAAAGTGGTGGGGCGCAGGAGGGCACGCTGGAGATCAAAGAATTGCTTCCCTACTGACTGCTGCTTGAAGGAAAAGGCCAGCAGGCTTTATCAGTGGAAGGCCTTAAAGGTATGGGTAGCTGGGCAGCCTCTGGCATTTTACTGCAACTGGCACCAGGTCGGCAAAGCGTCTCAAGCCATCCTGAATAGGAAAATTCCACCCATCACCAAGCAAAGCCCCTCCCCGAGATACGGAGCTGCCACTCACGTGAAACTGGCTCCATCCCCTTCATGAGGCAGACAAGTCCCGCCGTTCTCACAGGGGCTACTGGAGCAACCATCAAGAGAGACTTCACAGTTTCGACCCTGCAATAAAGGGAAGAAGCAGCCTCAGTTCAGAGAAAGAAAGGCTGAGCTCTGGCTGGGAATGGGGTTTTCTCAGCCCCAGCAGTTTCCTTATCAGCCATTAAAAGAAAACCCATAAGGAATTGGTAGGAGTTGCTACCTATATTCAAACCTGGTCAACTTTTGGTTGGGTTTTGCTAGCAGAATTTCCCTTTAAGCTCAGCTTCAATGTTATTTGATAGCAACTGCTGACATTTCCATATATGCAAATGAAGCAAGGGATGCAAATGAAGTAGCTGGAATATTCTTTCCCCCTCTAGTAGCTCTCTGGCTGATTAGTTGGGTAATGACCAGCTGGGCCAAATGTCAGGATGGAGGCAATGCAAGCAGTTGTCCTGATCAGATGCAGGATGTCTGAGCCCTGCCCATAGCTTTGGCCTTCGCCCACAAAAGCTGGTGTTTGAGAGGCATGGCCCTCAAAGCACGGAGAAAGCCATCCCCTTCTCTTTCATCCTCCCTAGTCCCCACTGTCTCCTCATCCATCTCACCTTATAGCCACTGGAGCACGTACAGCGATAAGAAACCAGAGGGTCTTGGTGACAGGTGCCCTTGTTTTGGCATGGGTTGGAGAAGCAGGGGTTACACTTGGCCTGGATGCTCAGGGGAAGAGGGCCTGCGTAGACAGAGAGGGACAACAAAGTGCACACACTGGAGTGCGCGACTACAGCCGAGGCATTGGTGTGGGATGGGATGTATATGTGCTTCTGCTTAGGACTCTCATATACTGTTCTTGCTTGGAACTCCCCTTCAGAGGCAGTCTTGGTCAGAGGCAATCACAGATGAAAAGTGACTCTTATTATGTCCATTAGGATGTTATTTACTTGTAGTGTCTTGACGTGGAAGAGAGGCAACATATCCTCCAGCCTTGTACCTGTGACTCTCCTGCAGAGGTCTGCCTTCTGAAAGGATGAGCCTACCTTCTGAGCACTATCTAAGGCACATTTGTGGGCCTGGAGGTTTCACATCACACACTCCACCCACTAGCATGAAGCCTCTCCTCACTTCCCGCCTCTCACACATTAGCAACACCTTCTCTTTCTATGCATCCAGTTTTCAACAGCCCCGCCCACACAATACCGTGCCCACCCAACCCTTTCTTCTGATGTGGTCTTGATGCTTTGTTGCTCATGCTCAACCCCCAATTCAGCTGAAAAATAGAAAAAGAGCAACTGAGCAGCCTGGAATGGGCGTCTCCTTGCCTACTCATGGGAAGTGCTCGAGCAGATTCTCTTCCTCTCTCCACCACCCCAGTCACTTACCTTGGCACTCAAACTTTTTGGCTGGAGTTGTGAGCAGCAGTTTGCCCTCCATATCAGCAGGGCCGGCACAACGGGCGATGCCAGGCTCTTTGTAACCGGTTTTGACCCAGCCTGAGAGCCAGCGCATGTGGCAATCACAGTACAGTGGGTTGGCACCGATGGCTCTGTGGGGCAGGGAGAACCAGAGCTTTTTCATCACTATTAAAGGTACAGTGGCTTTCTGCATCTGGACACTGGTGCTGTTTCTGAAGCTATATCTAGACTGTACCAGTTCACCCAACTTTGACTCAGCATGCTAGACAACAGCCCTGGAACTGATCAATAATCTTCAAGTGTCCAAATTCAGGCTTTGAATCCGTCTGCTCAAAGCAAGAGGATTACATTCTGGGCTAGTCCCTCTCTCCTGAGGTTTTAGAGCTGATTCACACATGCAGTGCACATCAGTATCTTAGTACTTGATGACATTGCTTTATGAGTGGCAGCTAAAGATGTGAATTGCTTCCAGTGAAATGCAGAGTGTTCCAGCAGATCATCACTGGATGTTGCAGAGCCAAAGATATCTATAGAAGTAGCCTCCAATATGGCTACCTTCCCCAGAGGTGTTGCTCATTAATTAATTTAAAATGCATATAAATTACAGTTGGAAGCTGAGCTATACAAAAATCTCAGCCAGCTGATAGAAAACCATTAGCCTGCCTCCAGAGCGCCGTCCTAACATGTGTCCTCCTTCATCCTGCCCCCGCCCCATGTCCTCATACGCAGCTGGGTCTGTTGTAGCTTTACAATTCCTGCTAGTCTAGGAGACATTCCCCTGAGTTGTGGTGAAAAAGTGAGGCACAGTATAGCTACTTCCCTAACCAAGTCTTACTGGCCATTTACCATAGGGACCAAACTCCCTTGCCTTGTATACAGCTAGCTTCCGGTAACAGGTGCAGTAGGAATTTCATCACAATTGCAGCAAACAGAGTTGGATTGGTTTCTGCTACTATTCAGTATCTCGAATGCGCCCACCCACACAACTTCTGGCAGCCATTAAACACAAATGGAAAAAAATGCCTAGCACTGCTTTCTGGAATTATCCAACCAACTGAACAAAACAGCAGAAAACAAATTATGCTCTCTTATTTGCACATCCCAGGTACAGCCCCACAGACTTCCAGGCAGCTCCTCCAATGGGAGTCTCCTACAGGGGGAAAGGGTGCCCAGACTGACACAGATACTCACAGGTGAGACAGGGAGATGACATCGGCAAAGATCCCCTCTGGGAGGGTGGCGATATCATTTCCATGGAGGGATCTGCACACAAGCACAGGCAATAGTTCTCATTGGCCACAGGGACTGGCAGCTTAGGAGCAAGTCCCTGCCCTGTCTATGGGGTGCATTTGGTAGTCCAGCCTGGCTGGCTAAAGGCACAGAAAAAGCCAAGTGAGTTGTCATGGACCCCCAAACATGCATCAGAAAAGTGGCCTATGAGAACAGGGTCCCACAGTTCACAGGAAGTTCATTGGCCCTTCCCCTGCTACATTTTGCCTCATTGATAAGCTTCTTAAAGAAACAGCTTCCTATCCCCAGAAGGATCAGGCCAGGGTTAGACGGCAGAGAAGTGGACTAGTTTGAATTCTTGGAGAAGGAGGTGGTGGTGAAAACCTTGAGCTGGTACAACTGGGTGTGTGTGTGTGCGCGCGCAGAAGTACAAGGTACCTACAGCAGTCGCAGAGAACGGAGACCTTCAAAGGCCAGTGGGGGGATGCACTGGAGTGCGTTGTAGCTGAGAATCCTGGGTGATGGTGGAGAAAGGAAGGAACAGTCTGGATCAACACACACTCTCTAAAGACATCCCACAAACTCACTGAGTGGCTTCCCTTCTCCCAGCATTGTTTCTTTCAACGTTCCCCAAGTGGCAACTCTCACAAAATGGGGTCGCAGTTTTTCTTGGGGTTTGATTGTATTCCATCCTGTGTGGCTGCTGGTATCGTTTTATTCACTCCATATATGACATGCAGCCTAATTTGGCATGAGCTTAAAACTACACAACTCATGATAATACAAATAGGACTTAGAGGAGCTCGCTAATTAAAAATGTTTAGCCGAAAAGCTACCTTACTTCAATCCTAGTAATTAATTACTTAAATGATCAAAATAACTATTACACAATCCCAGTAAAAGTAATAGCTTAACGATTATTACACTGACAGCTGTTTTCTCCCCCAAACAAATAATATAGGCATGCATCGAAGAAGAAGAAGAGATAGCATTTATACCCCACCCTTCACTACCTGAAGGAGTCTCAGAGCGGCTTACAATCTCCTTTCCCTTCCCCTCCCCACAACAGACACCCTGTGAGATAGGTGGAGCTGAGAGAGTTCTGACTGAGAACTGCCCTTGAGAGAACAGCTCGGAAAGAACTTGTGATTGACTCAAGGTCACACCAGCAGCTGCATGGGGAGAAGTGGGGAATCAAACCCAGTTCTCCCTGATTAGAGTCTGTGCTCCTAACCACTACACCAAACTGGCTTTCATATTTGGCATGGGGGTACGGTATTCAAAGTTAATATTTTACTCCTTTTTTCATACGGGATAGCTTTTTCTGAAATCCAATAAAAACCTACAGTTTAAAGGTTCCAGTTTACAAATAAATTATAAATTGATTGATGTGTTCAGTCTTAAATATGTCTTCTAAATGAGCAGTGTAAATTTCTAGCCCTCCTGGCTGATTGTCTAAATCATGGGAGCCCTGGCACACATTGAACTTTACTGTCAGTAGCACGGACAGGAAATACCCAGCGTTTAGGATTATGTAGCACTTTTAGGATTTGTTCACTAATGTCAGGATAGAGGTTGACTGGTACATGTGCACCATTCACGTGGCTTTTGGCAACTTCCGGAATCTAAAACTGAATGGACGGCTGTGGTGTGATCTCTCACAGGCGTGCAGACGCCATCGCAGGCAGGCACTCATGTTTAGCTATTTGGAAACAGACTGGTCCACTCTTTCTAGTGGTGTCCCCTGTGGCCAGTCGGTGGCCTCTCTGCTAGCAGGAAGCATCGCTCTCCTTTGAGCAGCAAAAGCTGCAGCAGCACACTGTTCCCTTCTGACCTGCTATGCAGTTTTTTACTGGGCACTCACAAGGTGGTGAGCTGGCTCATATTGGTGAAGGAGGAGTTGCTGAGGGAGCTGATCTTGTTGTTGCTCAGGTCCCTGTAAGGAAAGAAACACCAGACAGCCTCTAATACCATCTTTGATCGGCTAGTCCTTCAGCACCGTCCTGACCTCTTCTCAGTACACCATGAGGCCGGACTACCCACTGCATGCTAAAGATGCCTGGAGATCTGTGCTGGGAATCCCAGTCCCAGGGGCGTGGAGGCCCAATTCAGACAGGGACTGTGGCATATACACAAAGCGGTCCCTCTCCCCCCCCCCCAATACGGCCCCAGGCAGCTGCTATTCGCCTCACTGGGGAAAACCCATCGGTACCTCATCAATACATGTGGAGCCCCAACAAGGCAAATATTGCCCTCCCGGACTGTTTCAAGTTGGGGAAATGACCATGATCATAGCTGGCTTTAAAACAGGGTCTGACAGATTCATGGAGGATTATTCTATTAATGGCTACTAGCCATGGTGACTAAATGGAACCTCCTCAGATAGAGGCAAAAACCCCTGTGAATACCTGTGCGGCATCAGAGGAAGGCTTGCGCCTCTGTGACATTTGTTTGGCCCTTCAGGAGAACTGGCTGGCTGCTGTGAGAAACAGCATGCTGGACTAGATGAACCACTAGTCTGATCCAATAGTCTCTACTTATGTTCTTATGTTAACAGAAAACAGGTGGACTGGAATGCATTCATCCACTACTTGCACACAGTTCAAGATGTCCCAGCAATCATAAGAACATTTTAACTGCATCCTGCTTGGGGGATGTGCTCTTTCGATGAAGAAGAGTCAACTTTAAAAATATTTCCCAATAATAAATCTGCTTTCCTCAAGTCTTGTCTTACCCTCTCCTCAGCTGCTGAGAATAGCTGAATGTTATATTTGAAACGTCATGTAATTCAGCACGGTCCCCATTCCTCCTCTTAACCTCTTATGCTGCACAGAGGAGGCAGGAAGAGTTTCCCACCCTCAGAGCTAGCTCCCTTCACCCTCCTCCTGGTAGCCACATCTCTACGGTTCTATACTCTCTCACATTTTCCACGAGGTGTACTTGTTTGCATGCGACTGCACAGAACAGGCTAGGCAACGTGGCACCAGAGTGTACAGTTCAGCCAGGCCTTCTGCTCCAGTGTTCTTGGGCATCCACTTCTGGTGTGATTTCAGGTGTCTGGTGCTGCTATAAACAGCTGCATCCCTACAAGTGCTCTCTTTTTACAAGTGCTCTCTTTTGCCCTGGCAAGCAGCATGGCTGCCCCCTCGTTCTACTAAGATTTCATGTGTTCCCTATCAACCCACTGGACCAGCCTTAGCTTGGCTGAACCATGAAAACCAGAACAGTTGATCAGCATCCACTGAGGTACAAGTCTGCACCACTCTACAGCGATCTTTCATCCCCAAACACTCCTATGGGCAAATAGCATGGAAGCCAAATATAACGGTGCAAGGCAGGGCCAGGAGCCTCTAGTTTTAATCCTGGGAAATGGTCCTTCCTTCTCCTGCCTCTCTGAGAAAGGCTACGGCAACCCCTTGTTCCTTGTGCCATCTCTGTTTGCTTGACGCATACTTACACCAGCTGAAGGTAACGGAAGGTGGAGAGCTGCCCAGGGACCAGGGTGAATTGATTGCCATCCAGATAGCTGCAAGGGCAATCAAGAACGTATCAGGGATCACAACAGAGATGCAAATGTCAGGGTGAGTCTCTGAGAGGAAGGATAGTAGTTTGCTAATCATGGTGTCCAGAAAAGGACTGTGAACTTAGGAGCCATAAGCAGTGATGGCCATAATACCCGCATTGCTCTGCCACCAGGACCAACTAGTGGGAAACCATCTGACTGCTACTGTATTTGTAAATATATGTGCTTCGCATTTGTATTTCTAATATTACAAAGGAGCTAGCATCCATTTAGGGATACATGTTCCTTTATGTGCAAGTTTCTTAAATTTGAAACGGTGTGAGTCCCACACTTGCTCTCTTTCTGTCTTTCTGCCATTTTAATTGCTATGGGTAGAATTCATTAACTTCATGGAACAACAGACTGGCCCCACATACTAATAATTCTAACATTATTATTTTCAGAAAAGAAAGAATGCTTTCATAGATCATTAAGCACATGGTTTTTGAACCTACATTCAAAAAGACATCTTCAGGATATGGAACTATGTGGGCCTTACAAGGAAGTCATTGCTTCTACAAAGCAGAGTTAGGACTGAAGCAGGTTTTTTCTCACTTGGCTGCTCCTGGCCCCTTAAATCCAAGGATGCAACACATCTGTCCCCACTGCTCCCCTCTTCTGATGCACTGTCAAGTCAGAGTTACTCACAGTTCTGTGACATTCTTGGGGATCCCCTTGGGGAGGGATTTCAGATGCTTGTTGCTGCAACGAACGACAGTGTCCAGGCATGTGCACTCCTGGGGGCACTGAGGGCGCGGGAAACAGCTTGTCTCCTCCTGACCTGTCAAGGGACAAGCCAAAGGAGTTATAGAGGAAATGGGCAATGCGATGGCATTCGAGAATCCTGACATAGTTAATTATCTCAAATCTCTCCAAGGAAATCAGAATCTCCACCTACCCTGGTCACTCTATAAAAGCTCCTGGATTTTTTAAATGGCCACAGGCATCAGCAATTAGATCAGAGAAAATTAATTCATTTAGGTGATTAATCCATTTCAAATAAAAACGTAGTTTTAAATTTGAAAGGGTGTGAAAGGTCCCTTTGACATATATGCCCTGCCATTGATTTCTACAAGAGACTCGGTGCAGAGATGTATCCTGAAAGAGCTGCAGGACTGTGAATTTATTTTTCTGATCAACAGCCACAGCCAACCATCCTCCACACACTTCGTATCAGAAGCAGCTATTTGGATCAGGGCCAATAGTGCAAGAAGATTTGCCAAACAGCAAATCATTAATCTATTTAGTAAAGTGACCCTGTGTTAAACATCTCGTAAATATCTCCAGTGCTGAAAAATTGTACTTACTTAGACTGAATGGTTAAATAGCTGATTAAGTTGACTCGCTTTCAGCCAATTAATTGACTTGGAAAATGCTTGAAATCAAGTGACAACCCAATCAGCAGCTCATTACATAATTAGGGTTTCTGACACCCTCAGCAAAGTTCAGATTTTGGTAGTGCCAAAGGAGCTAGGCATGCCCATGTAAAAGATGCTGAGGTAGCATAGGTCCATGCTGGCACACTAAAGACGGTCATTTCAGTTTAGGGAACAGTGAGGACAGCAGCAGATTTAACTCCACACATGCACACACGTACACACATGCGTACACACACACACACACACACACACACACACACACTGCTGCTGTCACTCCTACTCAAAAGAGGCTGCCCAAGCATGAAGTGGATAATGCACATATTTCTGCACACATTATTTCATCTTTGGAATGCAGTCCCAGTTGTGCTCCCACTCAGCCTGTTTCTATAAGGAAACCTGTATCCCTGTGTGAATTGTTTTTCAGAACTGAAGTATAATGCAATAGTTTCATACATGCTGTGCAGGCTGGGCTAATGGACATTTGGCATATTAAAAGTTTGCTTTAATATTCAGCAGTTCCATGCCCCACTGAAGCCAAATTCTCTACAATGCACATTTGTACATGTGCATTTCTGTGCTAAATCTACTGAATAGTATTAGGTGGGGAGGGAGCTAGACAGAAATTTGAACCTGGTTGAAATACAGCACTTTGCCACACGACAGTACACTGACCCACTGGTAGAAAATCAAACATGGCTTTGTAGGGGCAAAGGAGAGCTTCTACTCAGCCACAGCCACAGTTTGTGTAATTCCTCCTTCTCCATCCATAATATTATCCAAAACACCTGGTGCCTGTCAGTTACCTTCCTCACACCTGAAGTCAGGGAAGGCCACATCCTGCAGTGGGATTTGACGTAGGAAGTCTGGGTTATGGCAGCGTGGGTTCCCTGTAACAATCTTCCTCCTGCGAAGCCAGTCACCTAGCCAGGCCAGGCGGCAATTGCAATTGAAGGGGTTAGCCAGCAAGTTCCTATGTGGGAGGGGGAAGACAGGGAATAAGTAACCCAGGCTATGCTGAGACAATCTTACATGGCATCCATGAAGAGGGATGGCATGAAAGACCCCCACCCTTTTGCAAATCAAGCCACACCTGTGCTCCCTAGGATAAAGCAGGTGCAGCAAACTGATTGAACACTGTGAGCTCCGAACCACAAAGTCAGTCCCTGGTTCAAATCTCATCTCAGTGACAGGCTCGCTATGACACATTAGATAAGTAATAATTTTTGCAGTGACAACCCACCCCTGCACTATCAGGATGGTAATCCTGACCTACCTTACATGAGTGCTCTAAGAATTACTGAGAAACACTCTGAACATTTCAAGCTGTTTGTATTACTACAGTCCAATCTTGTGATATCACAGATACATGCCAGATTCCACAGGTGTGGAGTTAAAGCCATGGAACCCAGCTAGACATGAATGGGATCATTTTCTCTGAGCTACCGTTTCAGGCTGTCTGCTTATTCTGGCACTGCTCCTGATTGGGGCCCATTCACACTGCTAGGAATGCCCCGGTAGATGGCTGACAAAAACATACTGAAAAAGAAAGAAATTGAGACCAGGAGGGAGCATGATCATCCTGATTGCCCCCCCCCTGTATATGGGAGGTACTTTCCCACCTGATGTCATGACTCACAGTGTAGAGAGTGACTGCAATGTGTCAAAAGCACCAGGTGCAATGGTGCTGATCTGGTTGTCATACAAAGAGAGAAGGCGCACATTGCGCAGCCCGGTGAAGCTGTCGTTGTGGATGCAGTTGATACGGTTGTTCCTTAACATTCTGGAAGGGAAATAGTGGAAAGCAGCCTTTACTACCAGAGACCTCAGGGGGATCTGGCAACATTCTCCACACACCCTGCTGCTCCCCACATGTACTGATAACCCACAGTGTTCCTTTCACCCCGCTCCAGTTGGGAGCAACTTACAATGTCCTCAGCCCATCAAGGCCCCGGAACATGGCACTGCGCACTGACTCCAGCTGATTAGCAGTCAGGTGCAATTCACTGACTGAGGCCGCCCCCTCAAAGGCCCCATCCTCAATCTCTGACACCTTGTTGTTGCTCAGATTTCTGGGAAAGAAAGAAGGAAGAAGTGAAGAGTGGACTGCAGGAGCAGGAAGAAAGCTTTCACATCTTAGCATACAGCCTACAGGGAGCTCTTAGCTCAGCTCTTAGCTCAGATGAGTTACTTTAGCTCCAGCTATGCCAGTTTTATTTACGCCACTCAGCTCCCCTCAATTTGTTACTGAACTGCCCTTGCTCCTACCTTGGAGGCTTTCTCCCACTTTTAGCCTTGAATCTGTGACATTAAGAAAAAGAATTCTCTGAAGCCATTTTCCATGCTGCTTCTGAGAGTCCAGGCATGCTTGTGGCTCTGCCTCACCCGTTAGAAACATCTGAATTGCTGGACATCTGCTACACTGAGAGTCCTATCCCTACCACCACCTCCATTTTTCTGGAACATCCCCCAGATCTTGTGCAAGAAGGAGGTCTTCTCTGTTACTAGAGTCTGTCACGTACACACTCACATTTTCTTTAGGTGAGGGAGCTTCTTGAAGATGCCTGTAGCTTCCAGCACTGTGATCTCATTATTATTTAGGCGCCTGAAAGAAAAACAAAGGAAAGTAAACACTGAAAAAGTGAGAATGAAATTAAAGCCAGGAAAACAAAACAAAAAAAGGGGATTCTGGGCGCATTTCTCAATATTCTCTAAGGGTCCCTTCACACATTCCCTTCCCCCCTGTGCTGAGGCGACTGCTATATAAGAAAGCATGCAAAAGTACAATGTGAAGCCAATACACATCAGAAGAAGGCAAGAAGCCAATTCACATCAGCTTTCTAAATTGTATATCTGCAGCAGAAAAACACTTGCATTGCACTTCAAACAATATAACACCCATGCTTTCCTCCACAAAGATTCTCTCAAAGTACACATTTGAAGTGGCTGTATGAAAGTCTTGGTAGTGTGTATAAGACAAGGGTCATTCCACTGTACTCTGTGAAGTGCCTGCACGCGGAATAAGTAAGACACACAAGATGTTTCAGACTAGAGAGGCATACACCTACACATGACAGATACAAAAGGAAAGGGAAGAAATAGGGGGAGCTGCAAAACATGAAGTCCAGGAAATGCATAGAGCAATTCTAGACTTTGACAATGCATAAAGTGGGCAGTGGATGCCGGAGATGAGGGATAAAAAGAATGAAGATTGTCCATCGTGCTGTGTTTGTTTTGTATCTTTGAACAATAATCTAGGGATAAATTTGCTCTTGAAGTGATTTAAATATGTAGGGAGACAGCCCATGGATTAAAAAGTAGCTTTCCTCTGTACTTTCTTTTTCAACTTAAATAGCTATATTCAAATTGGGCAGAATTCACAATTGGCAGCAAACGAGGGATGGGCACCAACTGCGAAAAAGCAGTTTGGTTCATGGTTGAGCCCTAAACCATGAACTGAAGTGAACCAGGAGGTTTGTTCACAAACCAAACTGGTTCGTGGTTCATGGCCCCACAAACCCCATTGAAAAGGACTGCAATCCCTTTAAATGGGGTTTGCAGAAAAACAAAAAAAACCCAGCTGAGCAATGGGGAACAGCTTGTTCCCCACTGCTCAGCTGTTTTGGGCTGTCTTTTGCACAGGAGTACTAGTACAATTTAAAGGGACTGCAGAAGGCAGCCTGAAAAACAGGTGAGCAGCAGGGAGACATTCTCCACCAGTCAACTGTTTCAGGCTGTCTTGCGCAGAGGCACTCCCAGCCACTCAGCTGTTTCACGCTGTCTTGTGCTATCTCTTTAAACTTTAAAAGGACTGCAGAAGACAGCCAGAAAAACAGCTCAGAGTCCCTTTAAACCCCTGCTTTCTTCTCCATCCACAAACTGCCACGAGCTACTTTAAAAGTTCATGGAAGTCCATGATGATAGACTCATCATGAAGTAATATTCATGAAGCACGAACAGGGCAAAATTTGTGACGAATTTTGCTCCGTGGTTCAGTTTGTGTCCATCCCAAGAAAACATGCAGTGAACCTTTAAAAGAGTGTCTCTGTAAGTCTAAACATTTTTTTGACTTTCCAAGCAAATACAAAACGAAACTGTTGATTCGGGATATCAATAATCCTAAAATGACAACCTCTGGAACAGACTTGGTTTCCAGGATTGTGTAAGACACACAGACATCAAAGGATTTCAGGGTTTTTGAGGGAGGGGAGGTCATAAAGTTCACAGATAAAGACAAAGCCTCACAACTCAGCTGTGGCCTGTGGAAGGCGCTCTGGGATCTTTGTCAGTTTCAGATTGGAACACTCCACCACATTGGCTTCACAGCGGCACTTGGGAGGGCAGACCACATCACTGTGGCATTCACTGTTCAACTGGTAATCTTCTGTACCTGCCCGGGAGAGAAAACACCGCCTGCTAGTGTATGTGTTAGTCTATACACATGGATGCATATGTGTGTGGATGTGACAGATGCTGCTACAAAAGTGCACTCCAGAAGGAAAGGGAGGATTCTCCCCGGCTAGGTAATCCTTAGTACTCTCATGTGCTCACCCTGCCTTAGCCCCATGGAACTCCCTCTTCACAAGAGTGGAAAGCAAGGATTAGATGTGGGAGCCCAGCTTTCCAACAGGGTAAGGGATCTACAAGTACTTCAGGAAGAAGCGAATGGGCCTGAAGATTTCTGTATCCTAAGCTGGATACTTGGGACTGAGTGAGGACTAAAACGAGTTTCCAAAAACCCAAATTCCATTCCTTGTTCTACCACACTGCTCCTCCTTCCCAAGTTGTACAGTCTCTCTGGTCATCAGTTCCCCATGCACATAACTCTGCCTGATCCTGCCATAGACGGGAAATTAGAAAAAAAATCCAGTGGGCCAACGATTCCTTTAGTTTCTATAGTACTTCTATAGGTCCCTTTAGCTTCTATGGATGCAAAGACATCTAAAACAGAGGCATTAGTATTCAAACATTTCAAACTCTTCCTGGCATCTCTCCTTCACGGGCTCAGCAAAAAAAATAAATAAATCCAGACAGAATTCCATTCCAGATCTGAAAAGTTGAGATGCTACAGTAATAGGAAAGGTTCGTCCCAAAGAGAGAAACTCACCAATCCCAGTCTGATTTTTGTTATGCTCGATGCCTGTAAAGACTGCATGCCATCTTTGCTGGGCTAAAATACAGCCATTCGAAACCAGCATAATGGGCATTCCTACAGCCCCACTGTGCCAGCAGAGGAAGAGTACCATGAACACATGCATGCAACTAGCACACAAATCCTAACAAACCCAGTCTCTAAGTCCTGCTCCCTTACCTGGAATGAAATACTGCTCTTTGGCTGTGAACAGAAACATGCAAACAGTGTTAATGTAAGCACAGTTAAACTTAGGATACCAAAATCCATCCCCCTCATTATTTTCAATATCTGAGTATACGTGGCAAGAAACTATAGCAGGTACATCAACTCTTAATATGTTTATCTGAATTAAAATAAGTATACTGCTCCATCATCCATTACAATGTGCACATTCTTTCTGATATTATTAATTTTTGTTTTAAATAGGAAATGGCACAGTCTTTGGCCTTTCAGTTTTCATATAAGTCAATAATTTTATGGTAATATATCCAGCTCTGTAGAGGACTGAATAGAATGTGACGATTGCATTGCCTCAGCTAAGTCCTTTCTCCACCCTCTCTGGCTTGGCTTCCCTTTTTGGATACAGGCAGCATTATGCTTGGATCCAGTGACGCACAAGTAGAAACACAAACAGACTTAGTGCTGTTCCACTTGAGCAACATCTAGGGCTTTCCACCCTGTATGTTATGGTGACCAGAAATTGGTTGGGCAAGGTCTTGCACAACTGGAAATGCATGTGAAGATGCAATAAGTTTGGCAGCATAAGCAGCACTTCTGCTTGCACAGGAGTACTAGTACAAGCAGAGAATTTGTACTGGACCAATTCCTGTTTATGAACATGGTGATTCTTTCTAAAAACCCTGGCCACAGATATGTTAAAATGAAAAGAAGGAAAAAAGAACTAGGCTGAGTTTATGGATGGTGAAGAACCACAACTAATTCTGTGCCTTGGCAAAAGGGAAATAAAACTGGGGTGGGGAGAACATCTCCTCAGTCCTTCTTGGGTGCCAGAGACAGAATCTCTGAATAAGCATGCAAGTAGGTACAGGGGGGTTATGACGGGGGGGAAATCCCAACCTTTCTGCTCTGTCCTGAGCCCCCAATCTAAAAGCAACCCTGCAGTCGATAGTTAAGTCATACGCGAGCAGCGGAATTTCTTGCTCTTGATCTGTCCGATGCGTTTGTTGGCCAAGCGGCGGGGGCTGGCACAGCGAGCACCGCTTGTCTCAATAGGATTGGCCCGCAAGAAGTCTGCCAGCCACTTCAGGTTGCAGTCACAGATAAAGGGGTTCTGGGCTAGATGACTGTAAGAAGGAGAAGAAACAGAAGTTTAGCACATCCTACCAAGAATGGCTGGGCAAACTCAGGAAACGGGGGGTTGCTCTGGTGGCTAATGTAAGAGGCTACATTAGAGTCTGACATCATAATTTTGAATCTAGCTGCTAAGGTGGTGCGTGCTGCTGGCACAATACCTTTGTCATGCCACCAGGATGCTAGAACATGGGGCTCTAGCAATGATCCTGAGCCAATATCAGTTTCCTCTTTACCCACTGAGATGGCACGGTTCAGAAACTATCATCTAGCAAGACTCTCCTCTTAGTGTGCTGAGCTTCGTAGTCACACTTTGTCCTCTACCCAGATCCTGGGCTACCTTCCCCTTGGAATTCCAGGACTCAAAAGCCTACCTTCCTCCCCCAGAATCCTGTCACCCCTGGACACATCTTTAGAGAAGAAAGCACTCACAGGGTCTGGATGGCACGCAAGGTGGCAAAGGTGCCCTTAGCCAAGGTCTGGATCTTGTTGTCATAGAGCGAAAGCAGTGACAGGTTCTGCAGATCAGCAAAGGCATCTGCCCGGATGCAGTTAATCTTGTTGGCATTCAGGAGCCTGGAGTGGAGGAACATGTTACAGCCTAGCTCTTTGCGTGTGAGAGAGAGAGAGATATTACATGAAAATCATTCATGACCAGCATTCAGAGTAGGAGGAGATTCCATTGACCCCACCCAGCTACCACCCAACAAGTCACCATGAGAATCCAGACTTAGACCTGACTGAAACCTTATGCTGGTGGTTAAGGGCATCTTACCATGAGATTTTTCACTCACTGGACATTTGTTTAAACAGGGCTCTCAGCTGCTTTGAGTACAACTTTAGCATGCCAGAGATCCATAACCTGGGCAGGTGTTGCGCTGGCATGCTACACTGCATCCACAGCAAGCAGCATTGCGTGTGCAGCAGTACAGCGGAAATGAGACCCTGGGTAGATACAGTAGTGCTTGAAAAGGTGCAGAAAAGGGCAAGCAACATGATCAAGGACCTGCAGCACATTCTCAGTAAGGAAAAGCTAAGGAATCTAGGGCTTTTAAGTTCAGAGGACAGACAATTAAGGGGGTAGGGGTACAGGGCACTAGTTTACACAATTGTGCACGGGTGGAGAAAGTAGACAACTTTTTTCTCCCATAAGACTGGAACTTGAAGCCACGCAGTGACATTGATGGACAGTCGATTCAATACAGGCAAAAGGTAGTACTTCTTAGCTCAAAAAGTAACTAACCTTTGGAGTTCAGTGCCACAGGATGTAGAGATAACCATTGGTTTAGTTGGCTTTAAAAGGGGATTAGACAAATTCATGGAGGATAGGTAAATCATAGGCTGTTGGCCAAGGTGACGAAATGGAGCTCTCATGTTCTGAAGCAGTGAGCCTCTGCATATGAATCCAGAGGAGGCATCCATAGCGAGAGGCTTTGACCTGTGGGTCTTCCTTGTAGGCCTCCCAAGAGGGCATCAGGTTTGCCACCATGTGACTGGATGCTGGACTAGATGGAACACTGATCTGCTCCAACATGGCTGCTCTTACATTATTATGTGTACAAGACCACATGGGTAAATTCTTCTTGTCTGCTAGAATAATATTTAAATCAGGCAACATCCTACTTTTAAGGATAGACTGAGAGGAAGTATCTTCATAATTCCCATTCCTTCCCCTTATTTATGATCGACAGACCTGTCTATGCCTTCATCTGGGATAGTGTAGCTGGCAGCTGGGAAAGGTGCAGCTAGATAAGGAGGGAAGAGGGGGCTAATGTTGGGGAGGAGATTATGACCATAAAGGGCATGGGGGGGGGGAGATGCACTCTGAAGTGAGGCAGGCTATGTGGAAGATGAACTTAAATACAGGGGGAGCAGTAGGCTGTACAGAATGAAGAAAGACCAAGTTGCAATTGCTTATAGTTTTGCTAAAAGTTCTGGGTGGGGCACATATGCAGTTCTGGGCTGCTCTGAGAACTGGCGCAAAGTTGCCACACTACCACAACCCTCCCACCATGCACATGGCCACACCGCCCTCCAGCTAGCCTTCCCACTTGTGCTTACAGTAATTGCAGTGCATACAGTCCCCCGAACACCCCTTTGGGCAGCTCTGTGATCTTGTTCCCATATAGGACTCTGCAAAAGAAATGATATCAGTCCTTGGGTTAGCAGCATCTCTTGGTTTTTAGCCCTGATCTCCCTGTTGTGCACTGGTAAAGAAAGGCTGTCTCAGTTCAATGGCTATTCGTAGGTTACTCTACAAACAGAGCTGGCACACACCACAAGCACATAGCTCAAGGGAGAATGAGATTTCCATGCACCAGTCTGCTTATGGTGTCAGGACTGGGGATTTGGGTACAATTCATATATACTAAGTAAAACAAAACAAAGAGACCTCCCCCCCCCCCCCCTGGGACTTGGGTAAACAGGAGAGATTTCTTCTGGTGCCTGAAAGATGTCAACTATGGTGCCAAGCAAGTGTCTTTGTGGACAGAATTCCATAAGTGGGGTGCAGCCATAGAGAAGGCTACACCTCCCATAGATACCTGTCTAAATTCTGAAGGGGTAAAACCTGGAGAAAGCTTCTGATGTCCACTGATGGGTGAAGATTGTTCTTCAGATACCCTGGTCCCAGAGCATTTGGGCCAGTATTGTAGAGACACTGTGAATACTGACTGAGTCATGGGCAGAACTACATGAGTGAACAGTGAAAAAGGAGAACATTCTGATACAGCATGCAAGTGAAATTTCACTTCCCTTCTCTGAGAGTAGTGAAACTATGCTTTCTCCCAGTGGGGCTACTCACAGAGAGTTGAGTGACCGCAGGCCTTGGAAGGCATCAGGTGCTATCTCTGAGATCTGGTTGTTGCTCAGGTCTCTGAAAGGCAAAGGCACAGTCAGCACTGATGCAAAGATGGTGGGCACTAGTAAGCCTACATAACCCTTCTCTTCCCTTGAGGTGCCAGATTCTGCTTAGTGTACTTCACAGAGCCTAGGTAAAGCCCCGGTCCAAATCCATACCAGGATGAAGGTGGAAGGTCATGTCAGGGGAACCAGCCCACCACTTCCTGGAAAATACTTTGCAACACACCACTTTCTAGTTATGCCTCTCCCCTTTGTTTTTATCACAGGGCATCCGAGATCTGCCCATATTCATGGGTTATTCTAAAATTGAGTAAAGTGATATCATGGGCTAGAAAGACATGGTGATAGGAGTGAGGAATCTCAGGATAGCAATCTTGTGAGTTTTTCTAGCACAGGAACTCGTTTGAAAAAATGACGGGTGGAATACCACTGAGGAGAGAACGGCTAAAAGCAGGCTCATGAATGAGACATCTCATGGGCCTGTGTACTATTGCAGATTTTTCAAATGGCAGCCAGAGTAGAAGAGGGATCACCACAGCTTGCTGTAACCCATAATAAGCTGGCAATTTCTTTCACTGAACAACCATACCTTGACTCTAATGAGCTTCACCCTTCTTATTTAGGAGAGCCAGTTTGGTGTAGTGGTTAAGTGTGCGGAGAACCGGGTTTGATTCCCCACTCCTCTACTTGCACCTGCTGATGTGACCTTGGGTCAGTCACAAGCTCTGGCACAGCTGTTCCTGAAAGAGCAGTTTGTGTCAGAGTTCTCTCAGCCCCACCCACCTCACAGGGTGTCTGTTGTGGGGAGGGGAAGGGAAAGTAGTTTGTACGCCGCTCTGAGAGTCCAAGTGAAGGGTGGGGTATAAATCCAATATCTTCTTATTATTATTATTTAGAGCTGAAAATAGTAGCAATACATTTATGTAACTGGGAAGGCAGTTTTCCTTCCTGTTCAGAAGGTATCTGTATTGGCAGGGGTGGATTGGCCATTATGGGCAGTCGGATGCCCCTGGTAGGCCCATGACTGCCCTCCCAGGTTGGGCCAGCCCTGTGGCACAAGGGCTGTGTCCGGCCCATCCGAGATCTGCAGAGTGGGGAGACAGTGCCCAATCCCTGCACCAGGCAAGGGAGGCAGCACCTAGCCAATTGGGGCGGTGAGGCAAGGGCAGGCAGGGCCAGGGTGGGTCAGGTGTGGGGCCAGGGTGGGCTGGAAGTTGGCCCTTTTCCAGGGCCATTTTTCACTCCCAGTCTATGTGTGCATATTGATGGAGCATGAACTTAAAAGAGGACTAAGGTCCCAGAACCCACCCGACCCTGCCCTCCAGTCTCTCCAAACTCCCATCTTCCTTGCTCCCAACTGATCCATGGATGGAGCCAAGGGATAAAAAGGATAAAAAGGGACACAGAGGACTAGAGCAACATGAGGATGAGGCCAGAGGGATGAGGGCTGGGACTGGAGGGGCAGAAGGACTGGCTGGTGAGTGTATATGAATATTGTTGTAGATCACCGAAATGATTGCATCTTTAATTTCGTTGTACTATGTACAATGACAATAAAGTATATTATTATTATTATTATTATTATTATTATTATTATTATTATTATTATTATTGATATAATCTACATGAAGACACTCACATCCTACGAAGCTTCTTGTACGATGAGAAGGCTCCAGGAGGGATGGACTTGATGCCATTCAACTCCAAGCGTCTGCATGGAAAACAGAGCACAAGTGATAAAGTCTAGTGGGGCACACCTGTAGGAACTGTTGAAACCCATCCCTCTTTTGAGAGGGATGCTGCAGAGAGCAGGGCAGGAACAACTACACTGGAGAAGTGACAGAGCCCTGTCCCTGAAGAGCTCTCTGTGCCCCATTCTCCATCTAAACTAAGCCAGCATACAACTTGTCCTCAGCCTAAATTTGCAGATTAAGGGCCTAACAGTGACACAAAGCTGATATAGTGACCATTTAGCTTAAGCAAATCTATGCAGTTTGACATTTTTTAATGTGTTTGCATCGTATTACAATATACACAGTTTGCAGCTCAACCCACAGCGTCATACACATTCGGTTGCAAGCTGGGCCCATGGTGCTAATCACATGCCCAGACAGCACACGGCCTCACCATGGGCTGATCTCGGCACTGGCCTACTTAGTCCACATTCCTAACATGTCAATTTGGACATGTAAATTAACTCAAAATCAGAGCTGGATTCAAGTTTACTTAGGGTCACTGTGTGTGTGAGAAGGGAGGCTGCTGCCTATATACCCACAATGAGGATTAGGCATTTTTCTCCACTTCACCACAACCCCTTGATTTGCAATGGCATGGACAAAATCTCACAGTCAGTAGGATGAGCTATTTTGCATGAGTACCTTGCTGCATGGAAGCAGACATCATGAGAAGCAATTTAAAACTTCCTCCATGGGGCTGCTGTTTTTTGTTTATGTACCAGTTCTATTGGCTTGAAATCAATAAAATGAAGGGGTCAGTTTACATAAACACATGGTGACTTCTGTAGCAACCCTCCATATGGGCTATCCAAGGCATTTTCTAAAGATGCTCAAAGGTATGACAAGGCAGCCAAAGTATTGTTGACTTTGTGGCCATCAAGATTTTGCCAAGCTAAAGGTTTACGGTTTAAAATCATGGTCTCTACCAGGTTCCCTACCTCTTCAGACCACCTATGGTCCTTGGGGATCATACCATACTGTGACTGCAAAATTCACCACACTGTGGGGAAAACGGCAGCCTGAACACTACTTAAAGCACCCTACGTCTTAAATACTCCACCTCTGTTTGTACGTGATAAATTTGTCAAGATATTCAATATGTATGTGGTGACGGAAAGTGCTGTCAAGTTGCGGCTGACTTATGGCGACTCCGTAGGGCTTTCAAGGCAAGAGACATTCGGAGGTGGTTTGCCATGGCCTGACTCTGTGTCATGACCGTGGGCTTCCTTGGTGGTCTCCCATCCCAATACTAGCCAGGGCCGGCCCTGCTTAGCTTCTGAGAACTGATGAGATCAGTCTAGCCCGGGCCCTCCAGGTGATGCCCCCCACACACACACACATTCACCCTGGATCCCAGCCAAACTGAACTTCATTCCTGGTTTGTCTCCTCTCAGTAGGGAAGCAGGCCCATTGCTAGTTTTAAAGATTTGCTTCCCTCCCTGCAGCAGCTTGATTAGCCAGGTTCGGCCTGAGATTGTAATGGGTTGGGTCAGCCACAGTCGGGAGACCACCAAGGAAGACGGGGGCTGCCCCATGGAGGAAGGCAAAATGGCAAACCACCTCTGCTCACCTCATGCCTACAGAACGCCCCTTGTGGAATATGGGTTGCCGTGAGTCTGTTTGTGAGGACAGCAGGGTCTTCTTCTTTCCTCCCTGCCCCTGCTATGAGGAATCTCTGGTCTGAACAGTGCCTTGTAGCCACTGGGGAGATTGGAGAGGGGGGCCTACAGTCATTTTTGCCTACGGATGACAGTTGTCCTGTGATGCTCCTCTGGTATGGTTAGTAGCATCTCTGTTCCAGATCAGCACCAGAGAACGGAAACAAAACATTCAGGCAGAACGGATTCTGTTAGGAAGGGTTCTTGTGCTCCAGTCACGTCTTCCTCCCCTCCCCTCGCTACTTCCTACTCACATCTCTGTCATGGTCTCAGGCAAATTGGCTGGGATGGCTGTCAAGCCCTTGCCACGGCAGTCCACGATGCCGTTGCTGCAGGTGCACATGGCAGGGCAGGAACCAGATGAAAAACTGCAGATCTGGACCCTCGCTGCATCATTCTGGCCTGAAGAGAAGGGGGAGCATTGTGGAAATTTAGTGATCTCTTTCTGAGTATGGCCCATCTCTGCCATCGGCACTGCACAAGCATCACTAGCTGGCCACCTACTCTTTGCTTGTGGAACACTGTGTTGCCAGGACCGTTCTGCCTCCCTTTTGTGGCCTTGAACACTCTTTGGTCCATGGCTAGTTCACACGAGCTGCTGTCTTAGAAAGGTCTGGCCGACTGTGATCTGAATGTCAGTCACAAGGGGTGTGCATATGTGTGGGAGACAAATAAAATTAGTCTGGCTAGGAGAAAAGCCAAAAGGGGCTGCATTTGCATAACTCAGCAGAGTTACATCCTTCGAAGCCCCTTGACTTCACAGGTGTCACTCTGCTTAGCGCTGCACTGTGAGTCCAGGTTTTGGCCACATTACTTGACAGCCTGGTGTTAAAACCTTCACTTGTCTCAATCACAACAATTTTTTAAAAAAATGTAGGAACAAACACTTGTGCAGATACCAGTTCGAGCAGATTAGACTTTAATTATTCAAGTCAGTAGAAATAACAGACTGACAGTACAATATTGTTCCGATTTACTCCAGTGTATGCCAGTTGCTTTCAATGGTTATAGACTGGAGAAATCCAGCACAGGACAGTGATGTGAGTGTGCAAGTCAAGATGGGAAGAGTTAGGACAGAAACTGGCATTAGCCAGGAAGGGGCACACATGGCATTCAACTTGGTCAAGGGAGGGAGACAACTGGGCACAGAGAACACGGGTGGAGAAATGAAGAGGAAGCAAATTCGTGCACCACAAGTTTGACAGTTGCACACAGCCAGAAATACAAGAGGCAGGACAAAAACAGGCAATTTTTGTGAGACCGGAGAGCAAGTTCTGCTGCACACAATGCATAGTCATGCAACCGCCACTGCCTCTTGTGGGAACCGGGAACGAAAGAGCGAGACACAGGAAAGGTGCTGAGATCAACTTTTCACAGTAAGAGGGACAGTGTGTGTCTTTGTAGCCAGGGCTCTTTTTGTAGAAAAAGCCCAGCAGGAACTCATTAGCATAATAGGCCACACCCAACAACAGGAACTCATTAGCATATTGGGCCACACCCCTGACAGCACAGCTCATTAGCACATTAGGCCGCACCCACATGTTACCAGAAGTGTGGTTATCCAGCCACACCCACCTTTTGCTTGTTATTCTGTTTACCTTGTTTGTTGTCAAAACCCAGGGCCTTTTTTTGTAGCAGGAACTCCTTTGCATGTTAGGCCACACACCCCTAATGTAGCCAATCCTAATGAGTTCCTGCTGTTGGGTGTGGCCTATTATGCTAATGAGTTCCTGCTGGGCACGGCCAACTTGGGAGCCAGCCGGAACTCCATTCCTGTGCGTTCCTGCCCAAAAATAACCCTGTTCGTAGCACCAAAGACTTCCTGGTTGTGCCAGGTTTGATCACTAACCCTTGGGTCCCAGTGCTGATGTGCTGAATCTGGGAACAAAAGAGGCCAGTTTCTGGCAGTTTGGGAGTTCTGAGAAACAGGTCTGCGTGAGGCAAGTAGGGATCCCTGTCTCCATTACCCTCGTGTGCAGTTCCCCTTGCCTCCCTCCTGAAGTTGCTGACCTGAGCAGCTGAATTCATTCTTCTGGATCTCTGCAACATTGAGGCCACGTAGTGAAGCCGGACCAGCGCACTGTGTGAACAGCCCAATGGTGGGGCGCTGACGCAGCCACTGGGAAAGCCAGCCCAAGTGGCAATCGCAGAACAGCTGGTTGGAGTGCAAACGGCTGGAGGGTGGGAAGAACAGGGAGAAAAAGGCAAAGAAGGTCAATTGCCATCTCCCCCCCCCCGCCGCTCACTCTGGACAGAGGTGTGGGAGAGACTTCCTGAGAAGGAGAGGCTGAAGCCACAGGGATGTGCGGCACTGGAGCGGAGCCTTGGCCCTCTGCAATTCTGCTTAATCCAGATTTCTGCCTGTGAGATGCTAATGCATCTCTCTCACACACCCCTTTCCTTCCCATACACAGAATCTGTGGCTCTTTTTGCTTTTGGACGGGATCTTCACATATTCGTATATAAGGCCTCAGTCACAAGGGATCTTGGCACTTTGCTGGGCCTTCCCCATCATGAAAACATTAAAGTCCAAAAGGCAGGCCTAGCAGGGCCTAAACATGCCTCAGACAGTCGCCAATAGTGTCCCCTGATAGCTCCCAGACCACCGTAACCTACAAAGTGCCCTATCTTCCTTCTTCTGCCCCAGGCCACCCCAACTCCACCCCCTGAGTTGCTTCTTCAGGTGCTCACAAGGTGCGAAGTTTGGGCATATGGTTGAAGCTGGAGATGGGGATGGTGCTGATGTTGTTGTTGTTCAGAGTCCTGCAGGAAGGAAGAAGAGGAAGCGCGTAAGTGAGTGTTTGGGACAAACATATTATCCTTCCATCTGGCTGGCAGTGTATGGATATACCATAAGTACACACTGCCACATTCTCAGACTAGTAGCCAGGGGTCATTTCGTAGAAAAAGAGCTAGGGGAACTCATTAGCATAACTCATTAGCATATGCCACACCCCCTGACATCAGGGGCCCGGCGGTGGACCTGCAAGGCCAGCGGGAGCGCGAGGAAGCCCCGCCAAGGCCCTCCCTGGCCCCAGCCAGGCAGGGGTGGGGAGAGGCGGGGAGGAAGCAGCTTACCCTCCCTCTTCTCCTGCCTCCTCCTGGCTGAATGAGGGCTGGAAGAGGGGTGGCCTGAAGCAGGGGGCGGGGCTTCATCATGTGCCCCGCCCCCTGCACCTCACCGGGGGAGCTGCGTTCCCCCGCGTTCCCCCCCCCCCCGAAATAACCCCTGCTGGTAGCAGATGTTATTCATAAAACTTCAGCCTGGTGTAGGAAAGGGAAGCGGCATGTCTCTGAAAGTCTCTTGCACAAGCTCAGCCCCACCAAACCCCCAAGTCCAAGGGGACATGAGAGGGGCAGAGAAACAGATGAGAGCAAAGACCATACCATGGTCTGAAGCAGCTACACTGATCCATAGGGTTGAAGACAACTTCCCTGGGATGATTCTCCAGGATTTCTTCACTGGAAAACTCTCTCCCAATCCCCATCAAATTTGGGAGCAAACCAATCAGTAAGGCCTGGACAGTGCAGCACAGGAAGAACACTGGGCTTTGGGTCCCTAGATGATTGCTTTTTGAGCCAACCCCATGAGAATATTGTTTTTACTTCTTGACTTTGGAGACAATGGGCAGGAGCAGAGTAATGGACAGAACAAGCCTCACAGACTGATGCAAGAATGGTAAGAGGCACATGTTGTTAGGACGTTGTTTCTTTCTTCAGCCCCAGCTTGACTGTGGACCATGCTCCCACCATTTGAGCTGGGCACTGTCACAAATGACCTTTATGTATGAAAGACTGGCAGGTTTACAGAGTCTCCTTTCAGGCCACTGGGACAACCCTCCAGAAGAACCCTCCCAGGGACACTTACAAAACCTCCAGGCCACGGAGAGCACGGAAGGCCCCTTCCTCAATGCAACTGATGTGATTCTTGTCCAATTGCCTGTGTGATAGAAGAGAAGATTACTACAGCCCCATGCCTTGGAGGCTACGCACAGCCCATCCTGGTTGCATTAAATGAGAAGTAAAGGGACACAAGAGCACTGTGGATTAAGGACAACAAACACTGTGGACCTGGAAGAGCCACAGAAAGAACAGGGTAGCGTGGAATATGATTTGGGGTGCAATCGTGCCTGTGCATAGTATTTGTAGGATATGATACCACTGCTTTTATCCTACTAATGTTAGCTGTTGTGGAAGGAGGTTTGGGCTCTTCATCTGCACAAGGCACTTGGTCTAGCCCTAAGAGATCAGTGTGCATTTGCGACACACTATCTCAAGATTTCCTGGTCCTTGCTGCCACCACAGCATGTTAGGCTAGGTCACTCACAGATTTTTGAGGTCAGTTGCTCCACGAAACGCCTTCCTGGGAACAGCCTGGAGGAGATTCTCACTCAGGTCTCTGCAGAAGAGAAGTTCAAAAGAAGAAGCTGTCAGGCAGTATTGTTCAGTGCCCAGACCATCAGATGAGCTTCTGGGAGTTCAGGATTCAAGTCTCCATATCCCTAAGTGTTGGGGTTTTTACACACATGTGCATGAGCATGCATGCATAATCACACACACACACACACACACACACACTGCTCGTAGTCTTCAGGAAAGCAAGACTTTTTAAAAAAAGAAAGACTGCCTACATGTTGCAGTATAGCTTAATCCCAGCCAGCAGGGGGAAGTAGAGCCTTTTCCATGGTTGATTCCTGTATCACCTGTTCCTTTATTCCTATATCTTGTCTTCTTAACGAAGACTTTGCGGCACAGCAGCAACTCTTTGCTCAGCGTTGACCCAGGGCATTCTGCAGGGGGATGTCCTGTTTACTTCCTCACTCTCTGACTTCTGCTGCCAAAGAGCATTATTAAAAAGTCTCCCTTAATGAGTGCCCAGTGCCCCTTCAAGCTGTATCACCATCCATGGTGATGTTAAGTTCTCTGAAGCATCTTCCTTCCACTCCTCTCTCCCACCTCACCCCTCTGCTGCTCTGAAAGGACAGTACTCCTGACCCCTATGCCCTGTTCTGGGATTCTGCATGCCCAAGGTATTAACTCTGCCCATTGTGAATATTCTAAAATGTATTTAATCATTTTCATCAACAACAACAACAGGATACCTGGAAGCAAAAAAATATAAAGTCTCAGCAGGATAACCGTCTTGTTAGGAAATCGGGACTGATCTCATGAAATTGTCTTTCAGATACCTGTTCACAATTCCATGGTGTGCAACACCTCTCCCTTTCCGCATTTTTTTTGCTAATCAAAAGAACTGCATGACATGTTAAAACACTGGTCTAATGTGCCTGCATCTCTTACTGACAAAACTGTTTTATCTGAAACTCATGTGTATTCTCTTTAGTCTACCACTCTGCCAACAATTTTATTATGGAATTAGGGCTGCTCTTTCTACTTCTCTAAGAATCAGTCTAGGAAATGGCTCTTAATTGTAGACTGTTTGCTTCCAAGAACCCACTTACAATTTTGAAAAAGATCCAAAGAGGTAGGCAAAGCCTGGAGGCATACCAAGGACAATTACTCTAGCTACAGAAGGTTTGTCTCCCTTGTCAAATCTCTCTCGGACCACACATCAGTTACTGCAGAGCCCCCCAATGAACACAGATCAGTGGCTTTCTTTCTTTCTTTCTTTCTTTCTTTCTTTCTTTCTTTCTTTCTTTCTTTCTTTCTTTCTTTCTTTCTTTCTTTCTTCAGAATGTGATGCAGGACAAACTTAGAACTGTCCTGGTAAAACATCTAAGCAGATTTATAGCACAGTCCTTTGCGGAGTTACACCCTTCTAAGCCCATGGATTTCAAAGGACTTAGATGGGTATAACTCTGCTTAAAACAACTGTAGCATATTCATTTAGGAAACAGAATAATGGTCACAGAATCAAACAAGAAAAAATGCAAATACATGAAAACTAAACACTAAACTTTTATTTAGACATTAGTAGAAGACACCTCAGGGATATGGAATGGTATATCCCAATCTTGTTAGATCTCGGAAGTTAAGGAGGGCTGGGACTTGGGTGGGGGACCACCAAGGAAGACTTTGCAGAGGAAGGCAATGGCAAACCACCTCTGCTTCTCACTTGCCTTGAAAGTCCCTTGCTTGGGTTGCCATAAGTCGTTTGCAACTTGACTGCACATATATACATACATAGAAGACACTACATTGGAACGCATAAAACTTGGTTACCACTGTATAAGAATGACTGGGACCACACATGTGGTGGCAGACCTGGATCTGGGAGCCCAGCTCATTGGTGAACCTGGTGGAGACAAAGCAGTGAGGGGAGGAAGCAATTTGCAGTGATCAAGTGACAGGTGAGAAGGAGCTTGCTTTTCTCTTTCAACCCTCTCCTCTAGCTGTTGTTTTTATCCTGTTGTAAACCAGCCTGCGCCCGCTTGCGGGTGCGGGCGGAATAGAAATTTAATAAAATTTAAAAAATTTAAAAATAAAAATAAGGTGCCTGAAATTCTGGCTATGGGGGAAGGTGGCAAGCAGGATTGCAGGAGAAAAGCAATGGGCATGATATGATTAAGCACCTTCCCCTGGCCATGTTTCTCCACTGCAAATCATCTCAACACCCCACCCAGCAGCAATCTGGGGTCCCAGTTCTGGCCTGTCATCAATTGTATATTTCTGGCCACAATCATATCCAGAAACCCAGAACAGAAGTACTCTGTTTCTGACTTTAGTCTTAAGAGCACAGCATGGATGGTATCTAGTCTGCTGATAAGCAAGCAAAATACAAGTTGTTCAACACGTCCCTTTTTAAAGGTCCATATATGGAACAAAACAAGAGAAGAGGAGCAGCACAGAGATCCAGTTACTGGTAATATGACCATGTGGAGGTTGATCAAAACAAGCCTAGAGATCTATGGAACTGAGAATAACAATATGTTCCAAATGACAATTGTGTCAGCAGCACAAAGGTAATATATCCTCTGTCCAGTGAGTGGTGCTGTTTTACTTGATCTTCAGGGAATGCAGCCATTAATCTAAATGTGTATCTCAAATGTGCATTTTAAAAATCTGGTTTTGATTATTATTTCCTCCAGATTTCCTCCACTATCATCTTAGTGGTGATTTCTCATAACTGGTTACTGGCAGGTGCTTGTAACAGCAACACTGCAGCTCACTTGTGTCTGCCCGAAGGGGAACTGCGTTTCTAGGGAAGCAGAAGTGAGGTTCCATAGTGGCTGCAGGGTGTGAGATCCCATAGTGGCTGCAGGACCTCCTGGCCTCAGCTGCAATGCAAAGGCATCCATTCCACCTTAAGCTATGCTTTCCTGGGTCTAATGCAAGAGCAGATCCTCTTACCAGTTCTGCACAAACCACCACCACCCCCAAGAAATCCACAAGGCACATTTGGAATCAACTGGCTAAAATTCCAAAGTAACTGCTCAAGGACTCCTGGAAATAAGGACCAAACCCTTGACTTGTAAACAGGGATGGCACACCACGCCAGAGTTTTCTGTGAAGGACTCACTGTCTATAAATCTATCACACATCTAAGCACAGCTTGCTTTAAAATTTAAACAGAGGTTTGAGGGTTCTAGAAACCCTGTCAACATTTTGTGGCATTTTAAAATGCACAAATATTTTCAAAACAACTTTAGAATTTATCCTCAGAAATAAAGAATTTCAAATTTTGGAATACTTGCTATTTAGATTTAAGGTTTTTTTTTTTTAAAGAAAAGTTGCAGCTGATCAGCTCTTCTCGGACATGGATACCTCTTGTTCATTTGTGTTCACTTTCAAGTCTTTCTTTCCCCAGTTTTTGTTTTACCCTCAGTCAAGAGGACTAGCAACCTGCTGCATACAACCTGGACCAGAGCAGGGTTTTGAAAGTCCCTTGGACTGCAAGAAGATCAAATCAGTCAATCCTAAAAGAAATCAACCCTGACTGTTCCCTGGAAGGCCAGATAATGAAACTGAAGCTCAAATACTTTGGCCACCAAATGAGAAGGGAGCACTCACTGGAGAAGACCCTGATGCTGGGAAAGATTGAAGGTCAAAGAAGACGGGGACGGCAAAGGATGAGATGGTTGGACAGTGTCATCGATGCAACAAACATGAAACTGAGCAAACTTCAGAGGACAGCAGAAGACAGGAAGGCCTGGCGCGATCTGGTCCATGGGGTCGCGAAGAGTCGGACTCGACTGTGCGACTGAACAACAACAAAAAGTGACCATTCGTCCCAGGTTTTGGAGATCTCTCTCCCTTTTCCTCCAGGAAGGCAGCTTCCTTGGAGAAGAGAGGAGCAAAGATAATGAAAGTTCCCCACTCTCATCTCTTGTACAGATTTGTTTCCATTTAGTGTCATGGTAAATCCAAGAAACATTAATCTACCAAGACACCGAATGATCCCATTCTTTATGATTAACGGCTTTCAGGCAACAACTCTGGCGTCAGAAGAACATCTGACCCATCCAGCAATCCATTCATGCCAACCCAGATAAATGGCTATCCCAAGACAAGCAGCTTTATTATAGCACGAGGGAGATCATCATCATCTAGGGAGTGGGAAACAAAGGGAAGCAGATGGCTGAGGAGATACACAAACAAACACTCTCAGAGCAACGTAGACTATTTGGTTTTTTTAGACAGTTATACATCACTTTTCTCCCCCAAGTGCTGTACGGTGTACAGTGTTGTTTTCCCCAACTCCACTATATCCTCACAACAGCAACAAGAACCCCGTGAGGTACTTTAAGCTGATAAGAGTTCCTGGTTCAAGCAAAGCTCCCTCTAAGCTGTGGAGTCTTGTGAGCAAAGATTCTACTTTGTGAGCTACTGGCATTAAAGTTGTGAATGAGCAATTTGGCTACTGCATAAATTAGTTTGCTGTGGAGCCATCCTTCCTGAGCGAAGACAAAAATGTGTGAGCCGGAGGCTAAAACTGTGAGCTAGCTCACACTAAGTGAGCTTAGGGGGAGAGCCAGTTTGGTGTAGTGGTTAAGTGTGCTGACTCTAATCTGGGAGAACCGGGTTTGATTCCCCACTCCTCCACTTGCACCTGCTGATGTGACCTTGGGTCAGTCACAAGCTCTGGCACAGCTGTCCTTGAAAAGAGCAGT